AGGCCTCTCTCTAATCTCCAACAGCGTCAGGCGTCGGGAGACGGGCGACAAATTTTAATAAGCAACTGGGCACTGTAATTTGGCGACCTGGGAGGGAGATTAGGCTGATTGATGCTGGGCTCTCCTAATGGTCCAGCCTATGGCTCGTGGCCCAAATTGGTGGTAATGAAGGTTTTGTGCAAATTGAGATGGAGCAAAATAAGAAATCTTCTCATCTTCCCTCACTCTCTTTACCTTTCATCATTCTGTATTCTTCTCTCTGTTTCTGTCTTCCTTTTCACTTTGTCCATCTTTTTGACCAGGTATGTCTCTGTCTCCCTCTGTCACATCCGTCCACTTTTCTTCCGCTTTACCCAGGATTGGTTCGCGGTGAAGGGTTACTTACTTGTACTCACACCCCCCATTTTCTCCCTCCTTTCAGCTTTGTTACAGCTATTTTGCAGGTGGCTGTGTTAGGTCTGAATTTAAGTTTGTTATAAATAAATGCATTACTTCATTGTGTTTCTGTAAAAGCAGCTGGGTGAATAAATAAGAGAACAGTGAGAGCTTCAGTGACATCAGAGAGAGTGCCACCTAAAGAAACACAACCTTTGTAAACACAACATTGAAGTACAGTGAGGAACAGAAGTATTTGAACACCCTACGATTTTGCAAGGACAGGTGTCTTTAAAGAGCTCAGACAGGTGCTACTAATTTAGATTAATGAGTGGAGTAGAGGTGGACTTTTTCAAGGCACAGTAACAGGTCTTTGAGAGCCAGAATTCTTGCTGTTTCTCAGGTGTTCAAATACTTATGTTCAGCAGTGCAAGACAAATAAATTCTTTAAAAATCATACAATGTGACTTCCTGAAAATCTTTTTCTAATTCTGTCTCTCAGAGTGGGAATGAACCTACAATATGAATTTCAGACCCCTCCATGATTTCTAAGTGGGAGAACTTGCAAAATCACAGGGTGTTCAAATACTTCTGTTCCTCACTGTACATAAAAAAGCACTACAGCAAAGATGTGGAAATAAAATCAGTGATTTCTGCATGTGTGGGCATATGTGACTTAACATGAGGAACAGGAAACTGAGATTTCATAAGTTATGTATGAGCAAAGTTCCTCTGACCACCACTCTTAAAAGAAAGCGAGAGAGAGAAAAACAGAAAAACCCACGAGTGCTGAATAAAGGGAAATGAACAATGTCCTTGGGGAAAAATAAGAAAATAAGAGGAAGCTAGTGAAGTGGTGTGGAGCAGGGGGTTACTGCATGTAGCATTTGATATTCCAACTGTTATAAAATCCCCTGAGAATGGATGTAATGGGCTAAACTCACATGGGATTTCTGGCCTTGCAGGAGCTTGTGATGTGTATGCACACATGTTGTGTAGTGTGTGTGTGTGTGTGTGTGTTTGTGTGTGTGTGTGTGTGTGTGTATGTGTTAGCCGGTCATCCAGTGGCTTATGGCACTTTTTTGTCCACCTCTGTCTCAACTCCCACACGTCTCTCTATTGATTTTATTTATTTATTTATTTTTTTAAGACGATGCTGCTGAACTTGGCCTCCTCCTCGCTCGCTGCCACCTTGAGTTTTGCACTGATCCATCATCAATGGCTTCATTAGCATTTTTCTCCCTCTGAGGTGCTTGAGTGTACAGACTACAGCACAGATGCTCGCAACCTGAATTCTTCCTATGACAAAAGCGGAGGTGGGTAGGAGGAGGTAATAACACCAATACACTTAGAGAGTTCCCAACATTATTAATGTGTACATGGTCCTCAAATGTGCACTCCTGCCTTTGTTCGCCCCTGCAAGGCCTCCTTTAAAACCTGTTTCCTAACTCAAATTGCACAACCCATGTGCTTTTGCAATATCCTAGATAAATGTGGACAAGAAAAGCATTTATTCTAAAACCAATCTGCACTCCAACCAAGGCTAAAGAGAACCAGTTAGGTGACCAGTTTAATGCTCAACAACAACAACAATGCAGCACAGTCGGTGCAGTTCCGTAAATGAGCGGAAACCAATTTGAAGTTTATCTTAGCGAGAGGCGACCCCTGTTGATTGTTCACCAAAGCCTGTGGTTGAAATCCCAGACAGCACAGTATAATCCAGCCTAAGTGCAGTGTGGTTGAAGAGCTGGTGTGGCCTCTCTCCACAGGAGCTGTTAAGGCTTTGTAAAGTTCACACTTGGTTGGCCAGAGTGGTTTGTTAGAGTTGATTGTTTATTTTTCTTGGTGAGGTTTGTATGTATGAGATGGATGACAGAAACATGGAGTGCGGCTTGGACCATAAACTCATGGGAATTCTTTGATCCTGGTTTCGTTTTTTACAGTCGTTTTAAAATGTCCAGTGGTCAGGCATGCAGTAATTTGGCTCTGTTCAGCATATTGCACAAGTTTTTTACGCAGGCCAATGCGCCAAACTGTTTCTTGGAGGGGGCAGTAGGACAGGCTAATAAATAAACCCACAGACCATTAAGAACGGTGGATGATGCCTGGCTGCTTCCTCTACTGTTTTCTCTTGTGCTTTTGCCTCACTGGATTTTGATTTGAGCACAGTGTGTTTGAAGTGATCATAGGTTATCTACCTCTCATGATACAGACTAGTGGAGGGGCAATAATGTAAGAAACCAAGAGCATATGAATAGCCTCTGTTTGCTGAATGCTCTCCTCTCACCTCATAGTTTATGGTGGATGACGCTGTGAGATATTAAATGGGCTGACGGAGCGCTTTGAAGTTCCCCTTTATATGATAGTGGGATATGCCTGATAATATGTGCTTGCAGGGGAGGGGGGATTTCTGTTCCCCTGACAGGTTGCAGAGATGTGAAGCAGGGTAGAAAATTAGGGGTGTATGGTGAAGGGGGGAAGGAGCAGGGCGAGGTGGTGATGGGAATGAGATGAATGGCATGCCAGTGTCAGAAGTGGTCATGTGCTGAGGGAAGAGTAGGGGAGAATGAGAGGGAGGATGGAAGGAGGGCTTGACTGATTAACCTGTTTACCTCCCCGAAAATGCTCAAGGCGCCATTCTGATTAAAGTTCAGTCGTTCATCTATCATCGCCATGGCTGGCTTGAACATTCAGAGCTGCTGATACCAAGCACCGTCAAAACAACCAAGCCTCCAACCTGAGCCGCCATCGTCACACCTTCTGACAGCAGAACCCATACTC